ATCACATGCTAAATGCTGGGTACTGCGACATTTATAACATTCCTGACTAGTAGCTATACATGGTCTATCCCCATGACTCCTCCCATAATTAGTACAATCGGTGCTTCTCGAAAGTATCTGATGACTTGGATTCAAATCTTGAATTATTCTCTGTCTCTTTTCAGTTTGTTCGGAAGGTGGAGGTAACCGTTTATAGCTAGGTTATCCCCTATTATACTTGGTATGCTCTCTATACATTATCTTTATTAACTGTACTTTCTATAACACTACCTGATAAAGTGGGCAAGGTGAACATCGTTATTTGGTGGTATAATTCCAGTCTCAATCCTTTCTCAAATGTCTGACCTTATTCAATTCATTCATTATCACTTCTAGAGCAAAACGTCCCAAATTTATATACGTCTCTGCATATTCTACTACTGACAACTTCATTTGGTGCAACTCTACAAACTCTGTCTCTTTTCTCTGCCGGAGGAAGTTAGGGAAGTATTCAGCATTAAAGGCTTCCAAGAATACTTCCCAAATTACTGAGGGGATCATGGCTCCTTTCTTCAAATTCCACCAATGTTCTATAGACCCTCTTAGCATGAAAATGGCCAATTGTACTTTCTGTTCGACCATCACTCCTATCACATCAAACAATTTCTCTATTTTCTTGATCCAATCTTCAGCCATTAGTCGGTCCGAATCCCCATTAAATACAGGTGGGTTGAGTCTTCGGTACTTCTCAATATTGCTAGTATCTACTCTTCCCTGACCAACACACTAATGTAAAGGAAAAGATGGAAGGATGATTCCTCTTATAACTTTCTCTCTTTTATCATTGTAGTCAGGCTCTCCACTACTCTGCACAATCGGTTGAAATCATCCTAATGGCTAGCAATATACTCCATTAGTGGTGTTTGAGAGATAGATGAGGGCCCCTGATAGGTGGTAGATGGCACCGATGTGTAGGGAGACAGTCCCTGAAAGGTAAAGAGCGGCACCTGCTGAAATGAAAGTGCTTTGTAGGATGTTGTCGGGGTCTTTTGAGGGGCTGGTGTTGCTCCCCTTCGGGGTCAGCCTCTACCTCTCTTCATCACCTCCCTTCTTTACTTGCATTTCAATAGTTAACACAAACAATTACCTGTATTTCAATAATCACTTGCATTCCAAGGTGTTGCGCCTCTTATCTACCCAAAACAATTATGTAATAATTCTATATCATGGTCATTGTATACCAGAGAAGGGACATAAAGGTTATATAATAGACATATACACCAAGACAAATATCAAAATAAATCAAAGTATCGCAACAGAAACGTGGCGAACCATAAACCATAATGCATAAAAATTTATGCCAAGCTAACAAAGGAAAAGTAACAATGTGAAGACACATGAGCTATATGAGGGTGTGTGTACTTAAAAAAAAAAAATTAAGGTTGTTAGTTAACTCAAATGACCATTAGGACAACCAAAATAAATTATAGCTCATCGATGTTAGTGTGAAATTACCACGGATCCCGAAATATATATTCGATAAGCCACGAACCAAATGCCTGCAAAGCTCAGATATAATAACCTTAAGGTGATAAAATTGATGGGTGCGAGGACTGGTACGATTTACTAGAATGACGAAGCTCTTTAGAGACTTGATTGATATGAGGAAAATGATCAATTCTGGGTTGGCTATAAAAAGGGGATTCTGGGTTAAGGAAAAAACATGAAAAAGGGGAAAAGAGAAATAGAGGAATGAGAGAGTCCGAGAAGAAAGAGGGAAAGGGAAGGAGATGAATTGGTGTGAAATCGTTGGGAGAGTTCGAGGAAGAAGAGGATTTGAGTGAATTGTTGCTGAGGGATAAGAAATGGAGGCGAGATGTAAGAAAATGTAGAATTTCAAACTCTATTATTGTAATGTTTTTCTGAATCCCTACTTTTCTAGTCTAAAGTGTCGATTAAGTCCTATTATCAGGAGAGAGTCGTGTGAGGGACACGAAACTTAACTGGAGACACCAAGCTAATACTGGTTGGGCGTAGGATTAGTTAAAAATGAAGGTAGGGGACGACTGATCGAATAAAAGTGGGTAAGGAACTGGAGGTGAGTGCACACTAGGTAGGCCAGGACGAAGTCATAGAAATTGAGGAGAAAAGTGAGGCTGTGTGGTAGGAGGGGAGGGATAAAAGTATGAGGACCGTCGATGTATGTATTTTGGTGTGGTCAAAATCAGTGAGAAGTTAGTGTGTGCATGGCTTTCATAGGTCAGTGATTGCAAGACAATGTGGGTAATTGTATGGCGTGCTCATGTATGTGTGTGGCTTTTACAGGTGGTGTATACTGTTTGAGGTGGCCTCCACAGATCGTGAGATAGAGTAATGTGTGGTATACCTTGTGTGTGTGTGTGGCCCTTACAAGTCGGGTTTTCTTACAGGTTCGGTGTGGATTGGGAAAAGGCCTCATGGGTTAGGTGTATGTATGGCCTTTACAGGTTGTTGTTTTAAGTTTTGAAATAGATGGTGGACTGGTTGATGTGTCGGGTGGCCTTTTCAGGCCAGAGTGGCAGTGTGGTGCGTGCATGTGGTTTGAAGAGGCCGGATATCGTTAATACTGATGTAGTATAATGGTTGTGTGTGAGTGGTGTGTGTATGGCTCTTTGGGCCGATGGTTGCTGGTTTTAGAGTGTTGATATAGGTGGAATGAAGTGTATGTGTGAGTGGTCATTTAATGGCTGGTGTATGTGTGTTATAGCATTGTTGGTTGTGATGGTGTGGTCATTTAGTGGTCGTAGATGGCCGAGGTGAGTGCTAGGGATGTTTAGCGTCCAATGGGAGCATCGGGAAAAGAGTATGGTTAGGTAGTATGTCTGGTTGAGAGGAGTGGGGGATGGGGTCCTCTTAGGAGGAGTTATAGTAGGGAAGGGAATAGGGATAACAACGAAAAGAATAATGGGTAGGGGTGTCGGGATAGGAACTTAACCACTTTTCATAATTTAGTTTCAAGTTCTACATTTATTTTACTGGGTCTATTACTCATTACTTTTATTTTTAAATGTGTCAAAGCGGGAGACTGAATCAGAGTACCTAGCAATAGAACGTACTACTTAAAGAGGGAACAATTGTTAATATGGAATATTTCTCTTGATAAGAATATGAATGTATACTCCTTATTATAGTTGATATTAGAATTGTACGATATAGAAAGTCATATTGATTGATCATGAGTTCTTTAAGCGTTACTATAAGGAGATTTTGTACATTTTGATGAATAAGATGATGTGCGCTAGTTGCATGATGCATGTTTGTCTTGAAATGAGATAACAAGGTATGATAACATCTCCCTAGTTAGGACATGGCGTTACATAAAATTTATTATTTTAAAAAATAATCATTTTATATGATTGTTTTTATATAATATATGTACTGATTTTCTAAACTTACATGACCCTCTTGTTGTATAAGTGGTTAAAAAATTATTTACATTTCATGTATTTCATGAATAACTTTTTTGCCAATCACTTGTCTTGTTTACTTATTTGTTAGTTTTAAAATTTTTTACAAAGTTACAAGTTTTATTTATTGATACATAATTAATCTAAAATTATATTTAAATATAATTTATTTAATAATATTATAAACATATAATATTAGTTCTTTTTCATAATATTTTTTAATTCATTTAAACAAATTAAAATATTTTAAATTTTATTAAGTATTTAGCTGAAAAGGACGTGACAGGTGCACAACAGGTAGATTTTAAGATTCATATTCATCTAATATACATTTCAAGTTTATAACTCTACTCATACTTTAGTTATGTACACATTAGTTATTAATTTTACTAACGATATATAAGATGGGTTGGAATAAATTAGACAATAATCCAACTTCACAATGAATGTGAAATAATAATGCGACAATTATTTTTTCTTATTAATTTATAAAAATAATTTTTTCAATAAATAACTAACATAGTGAATATATCACGATGATTCAGTTAATGACAAAAACATTATATATTAGATAAATTTGTTGTGTGGGTATTTTACTTAATAATAAAAATATAATTTAAACTAGTATTTAAATATAATTTATTTAATAATTATTGAAAATCAACATTATAAATATACAATATTAATTATTCTTAATAAAATATTTTTATTAATTTAAACAAAATTAAAAATAGTTAAAATTCTATTAAATATTAATATAGCCAAAGGACAGAGGATATGTGCACAATTGATATATTGTTAAATCCATATCCATATAATATACATTTCAAATTTATAATTAGCACATATTTTTGCTCTATAAACATTAGTTATTAAGTTTTATCAACGTTATTTGAGACGAGTTAAAATAGATCAGAGAACGATCTCACTTTATAATAAATGTAAAATAATTTAATATTATACTATTAATTTATAAAAATTATTTTTTTAATGAATAGCTTAGGAAGTGAGTAAGTAGAAGACAAAAAACATTTAATGCTAACTAAATTTTGTTAGCTGTATATTTTACTTGCTAATAAAAAATATAATTTGAAATAATATTTAAATATATTTTATAATTATTTTTAATTTAATAACATATTTTGGAAAGCCCATCTCGATTATATATAAGCCCACATTCGATTTATGACATATGGCGAGAGGACAAATCCGGCATTTCGGAAAAAGAGAGACCCTGTTTTCGTAATCACGTACTTCCATTACTTTTTCGGGTAATCGGCAAAACCCTCGCATATAAATGAACGGCGTCAATCCCTCTTTTGGCCCTCTCCTGCTCTCTCATCGCTGCGTCGCTCTCTCTTGCTATTCTATCTCCAGCACTTAGTTCCATCGGTTCGAGAGAGAGAGAGAGAGAGAGAGAGAGAGAGCAATCATGTTGGTTTATCAGGATCTCCTCAACGGTAATTTTTTCTTCTCCAATCTCTTTATCGCTCTTTCTATCTTGTTGATTTCAATTTATCAGTTATATTTCTTCTTTCGCTGGTATTGGTTAATGATCTTCTTAGATCTATGATTGATTCTTGATCGATTTGTCATGAAACGGTGGCTCGTATGTCTGATGTGGTATCTTGTTCCATATCTGCTGTGTAATTTAATTTTCAAGCATATGTTCGGGAGGTTATGCTATGATTTATTTTATGATTCATACTTTATCATTACCGGCTACATGCAAAAATATTCAGCTAACCTTATTAGGATTTAATCGTAGATATATTTTTTGGCTATTTTTTCATTTGATAAATATTATATGATTTCTGAATTCCATGTCTGATAAAAAGGAAGTAGATAGGATGTAGCTTTTTTCTCACTTGTGTATGTTGATTTAAGTTGGTAATCTGGCTATGGATTTCTAGTTGTGTGTTGATTTATACAGAATTGTTTATGTTTTCGGTAACATGATAGTTAAAACTTTAAGTGGTGCAAATTAAAGTATTTAGCACGTTATATTCTAGACTAGATTGTTTAAGCAGGTAACGTTAACTTTCTTGGTTCATGGTTGATTTCAGGTGATGAGCTTCTCTCAGACTCCTTTCCTTATAAGGAAATAGAGAATGGTATGCTGTGGGAAGTTGAGGGAAAGGTAGTATTACTCATCCCTATTACAAATAGCTTTCTTCTCACCGTTTCTTTTCCTAACTATAGATTTTTGCATAAAGCTGCAGTATACTGTTTCCTTTGTTTTGAAGTTGACAAATAAGAAGTTGGGAAAAGTTTAGAGGATCTGTCTTTATTTTGCTGGGTGTTTGCTATTATGTTGTGACCAAAAAACTAATAATTTGCTTTTATGGTTTTGTCCTCCAGTGGGTTGTTCAAGGAGCAGTCAGTGTAGACATCGGTGCAAACCCTTCTGCTGAGGGTGCTGATGAGGATGAGGGTGTTGATGACCAGGCTGTTAAGGTTGTTGACATTGTTGACACCTTCAGACTCCAGGTTAGTTGTCTCTTATAATTTTGTGTAAATCATACATTTTAATCTATTTATTATTGTACACAAAATATTGTAGTCTTTCCGAATTGAGTAGTAATCATTAATGGGCCTGAGTTTGGCTTTTGCTGCAGGAGCAACCTCCTTTTGACAAGAAGCAGTTTGTTGCCTATGTGAAGAAGTACATCAAGTTGTTGGCACTCAAACTGGATGAGGAGAAACAGAAGAAATTTAAGAAGAATATTGAGGGAGCAACCAAATACCTGCTATCAAAGCTCGGTGACCTCCAATTGTAAGTATTTTCGTTAAGGAAACTTCTCTGGTGCTTCGGAGATGCCATGTCTTGTGTAATTTTGCTAACCTTTTCTAGTAATCAACTAAGATCGTGTCGTTATCGATTTCTCACAATGTTAAACAATTACTATACCGAGTTCCTAAGTTATTGCAATATTTGAAAATTATTGAGAGGCAGGATGCCTCTGAGATAGCGTAGTAGCACCCTGTTCCTCGATTATGTTAACTATGACCAACTAGATTACAACTTTTTCCTAACATAAAGTAATTTCCTTGATTATGCACATTGATGTTTTGTGCTTTGCATTTTATACAGCTTTGTGGGCGAGGGCATGCATGATGATAGCACCATGGTGTTTGCTTACTACAAGGAAGGTGCCACTGACCCAACCTTTTTGTACTTTGCCTATGGGTTGAAGGAGGTCAAGTGCTAAAATTGGGGTGAAGCAGCTTTGAAGCAGAAGTGCTTGCTGTAGTTTTAGTGTTTATTACTGCCTTCCATCTTTATTATATCATTTTTGTTCTGTTTGACATGAGTTTTGAACTTTTTTAAATTAATTGTTGTCTTCTGATTTGAAACTTAAATGTTTTATGAAATATTATGCTCTGGCTTGGGTTGGCGATTACTTGCTCGGTTATTTGTTTTGTTGCTGGATTTTTACAGCAAGCAAAATATGCCCCGTTGATGTAATCAAGATCATCTTCAATGTTCAACGAGCACCCATATTTAAACAATGAAACAAGTTTTATTTTATTCTTACTAGATCGCTCTGTTCTTTAAACGGCAGTGGAGGTCTCTCAAATGGGTACTTTAAGATTATATATAAAACTTATGTGGCAAGGTAATAATAATAAGATCAATTCCAATATTACTAGTAGAACTACTAATAATTAGGTACAACTCAAATGTCAAGTTGTGTTTCTTAAGAGCAAACTGGTCTAATGCACTACTCTAACGAACTTGAATTAAAACTGAAAACGAAAGAAGCAAGCACTCGGTTGAATGGCACTACGCTCTGGTTTCGCAATTGAGAATTATTCTTAATGAAGTCACCGGATCTAAAAGCAAAGTTATGGGTCAAATGGAATATTTTTTTGGCAGAGAATAACATCTTTTCTTTTTTGAGTGGTCTGCATAACTTACTTTAAAAGGGGAATCAAAATTCGTTTTGCAAAATCAATTCAAAACCTATTAAATAGATTCAAAGAAAGTAAACGCCCACTAAATCCGCATCATTAATTCAGCTTAGCTTCCCAGATGTCAAGCCGGTTAAATTTCCAAATTCACGCTTTTTGCCTGTTTAACACGCCTATATGAGCATAAATATACGTACTTTAAAAACATAAACTAAATATTATGCGGATCTCAAATACATAAATTTATTTAATGGGTTATGGCAACATGGAATTTAACTTGTATTGAATAGACTATGGGGATACATGGAACTGCAGAGAATGATTATATCCATGTATGTATATATATATAATATATTATGAAAGTAGATTAAAAAGCACGTTAAAAAGAAAAAAAGAAGAAGAATAAAAAAATGGAATCAAGACAGAAACAAAATCTCTTGTCTTATAAGGAAGCAATGGCTCATCAAGTTTTTGGCGCCTTGGGCTGCTTCACAATCATGACAGAACAATGAGCATGGTGAGCACAGTAGTCGCTTACGCTGCCCAGTACCAGCCTGCACACCAACCCTGGCCCATTTAGTTTAATTTTCTTTTTTTTTTAAATATATATATATATATTGGTTTATACATATTAGAGTCAATGGTTTAGTTTAATTTTCATTCATTAATTTCAGCAATTTATGAAAAAAATAATAATTGAAGAAGTATGATTATTGTATATGTCCATACTGTATCTCCTCGCTATATATATATATATATATATATATTTGTTAACTATAATTCATCAGCATTGTGTTAGAAATTAATCATTAAAAATAATAATTTATTAAATTACTTAAAATTTGCTACTTATTACAATTTAATCTTTAATTTTTTTTTTACAAGTTAATTTCTGATATTTATTTATTTATTTTAAATATTTAATTTTCTTACATTTTTTAAATAAAAAAATTAAAATAATTAAATCATATTTAATGTTTTAACAATAGTTATATTTTAAGACATTTGATTATTTTAGTTTTAAAAAATTAACTATTTAAAATAAATAAATTATAATAAATATTAAATTTAAGAAATTAATTTAATAATTAAAATTTTCATAAATAATAAATATAGTTAAATCCAATATCTCTCAATCTCTAGCAAGTACGTGTGTGTGTGTCTGTATATTTACCTCTTTACAGCTCCATATCCATGGCTGCCCAAAACCAGAACAGACGCATGGTACTTGTCAACAGTTTCCACCATGACGTTCCTAGCATCCCCCTCAACGATCTCCATTTCCGAACATTCCACCTGCAACCATGTCCACCACTAAGTACTGGTCCAGGACCAGACCAATCCGAATTGAACCAAAATCGGTTGAGAACAGAACCGGTCGGTCCGATTCGGTTGTTCGAATCAAACCGGATAACGCACTAGAATTTCACTACTGTATATATAATATTCAACGCTATATACATATATATATATATGGAGAGAGAGAGAGAGAGAGAGAGAGAGAGAGAGAGAGAGAGAGAGAGAGAGAGAGAATTGAATATTAATTTTTACCGATTTACTGTTACATATCTCCTTCGCCTTGCTGATAACCCTATTGGCTGTCTTCTTCAAATCCTTCTCCACCATTGGCACCGCTTCAATGGACCCTGCCAAAAGTCAAATTAAACCAAAATTCCTTAACCTTTAACCAAACTTTCTCAGATTATACTTCTGACTGCATCAATTGGAGAACACAGGTATAGGTATTAATCGATCTGGATTACCGGGTCCTGCGAAACCGAGAACGGAAGTAGGAGTGGGTCGAGCATGAACAATGATGAGCTTGAAACCTGAGTTAGATCCGGAAGGAGTGAAGAATAGATCAAGCGCCCACTCCAAAGCATGGTAACTATGGCTGCTATCGTCTAAACCTACCAGTATCACACGTTTTTCTGCATCTGTCATTGTTTCTATGTCGTCAGCTTCCCGATCTGTATTTTGAATTTGAAGTGATAGAGAATGAATTCAAATGAGAAACGTGATTTCTTTGATGTGTAAATATATACTGAGATTTGTGTGGGAACGAGTCTATTGAATTTCAATTTTGGGGAGGAATTTGCGGCCATTGAACCGGATCATTTAATGAAATGGAAAGCTGAAGGGAAAAAATTTTCTTTTTCTTCATTTATATGTGAAATAATTTATTTCGTTACCTTCGTTATTCCGAATCTAATCTAAGGTCTCATGACCTTGAAAATCTTTCAAATACTAATATAAACATATATCTATATATATATATATACATATATAGGAAAAGACTGTATATCCATGTCTCCAGTTCATTATTCTTCCTTTGATTTAAGTTTACAATCTCAAAAATGAATTACTGTAATTTCAGGATTTACTGTAAATCTTCAATTTAATCACTTAATGATTTTGATTTCAACAAACTCTTCATAAAATGAAGAACTGTTTTCTCGTGATTATGTTTGATACATTAAAAAAAGACTAATACCAAGTGAGCCTTCAATGGCTTGTCACTCCTTATTGACACACTACTAAGATATATGATCAATTTATTTTCTCGCATATCATATTAGATAAGTAGAGTCAAACAACATTCTTTTTTATCTCAAATAATAACGAATGGATAATATATTTGTACAAACAGAAAATAACTTGAAGAAGGTATTGATCAATAGAATGATAGAGAAAATTCTTATTGATCATCTTTGTATTATGTATAGCCAAGAGAATGATTATATATAAGAAGGAATAACTAACTAGCCCAATAAAATGAATACACGTCAACTTCTAGAACGTACCCAGCTCACCCTACATTGCTGACAAAGAATAAAGGAATAATATAAAACAGAAATTTATAACAGAAATTGGTAACCAAATATATAAATAACATCCCCCCCTTAAGGTAGAGTTTGGTAAGGATCAAGCAAACCCAACTTGGAAGTGATGGCACGGAATTGAGGTGAACTAAGAGACTTGGTGAGAATATTAGCATGTTGCATCTAATTAGAAACATATTGTAGAATAATGAATACATCTTTATATTTTTTACGAGCATTATGACAGTCAATCTCGAGGTGCTTTGTTCTTTTATAAAACATGAGATTAACTGTTATATGTATGACAGATTTGTTATCACACCATAATGGAATGAGAAGCTGGAGATGCAATTGAAGATCAGAGGACAGATAAAAGAGCCAGAGAAATTCACAAACAGTATTCACCATGCTACGATATTCTGCTTCACAGAAAGATCGAGAAGCAATATCTTGTTTCTTGGTCTTCCAAGAAGTAAGTAAAAAGCCCATAAAGATACGATAACTAATTAAACTGCGTCTGGTTTTGGGACAAGAAGCCCAATCATTATTTGAGTAAGCAACCAGTTGAAGATTATTTGAGGATGGATAAAACAATCCAGTGGAAGGAGTACCATTGAGATATCGGCCAACATGAAGAACTGCATCCCATTGAATATGTGTTGGTGATTCTATGAATTGGCTAAGCTGATTAACTGCATAGCAAATATTCAGCCTTGTGAAATTCAAATACAAGAGTCTACTAATAAGTCGACGATATTATTTAAGATCAGGAAATGGTTTCGACTCAGTGTAAAACTTGAAGTTCTTTGGTAGAGGGGTGAGAGTTGATTTGGATCCAATTAAACCA